CTCCTCCTCCTCCTCCTCCTCCTCCTCCTCCTCCCCTCCTTTCTTGCTTACTCTATGTCATTTTGGGAAAGAATAGCAGATTTATTTTTTTGTACTGTAGTAGATTGCAAACTTTATTCAGAGCTAGATGGACTGTAGGTTCTAATATTCTCATATACAAACACAGGGACTTATTTGTCAGTTCCTGTATGAAACTGAATGAAAGACAATTGCTTTTAGGAGTTGCTCATTCTGTTTTTAACACCCCAATTGGCAACCCCTCTTTCCTTTTCACAATTGTTGCCTTCACTTCTGGGAGATCTGGGCCCGTATGAAAATACTGGGGGTAGCCTTCCAGGACCACAGAACTCAAGGTTTCCAGACTTTCTGAAGAATCACTAAAGATCTAACTATTTTGATGCTAGTTGGAAGACCAGCTATCAAACTTGGGCTAAGGCTGTACCATGTGCCTAACCTTGTAAAATATTCCACAAGTGATATGTTTGCAGATAACAACCTTAGGGAGAAAGTAACACATAATCCACTTTTGGCAAGAAATTGGCTCTTGGCAATAAATGATGAATGCAGTGACCTCATTTTTCCAATCACCATTCTTTTAGCAGTTACAGTAATTGTCATGCTGGCCCATGTGTCACTGCATTAATTAATATTTAACAACTTTCACTGAAGGTTATCCTCTCTTTTTATACAACTGCTCATGCAAAACCACACACCGTCTGACTGTCGTTCCTTAATCCTTTTATGCTCTCCTAATCTCTGTTTCACAACTGGGATACGCTGTAGATGGAGATTTATTTGAGTAGTCCCATACCTTCATTCAGTTGAGGTTCCAAATTTGGCCTCTTGAAGAACTCCAAAGAGGCATTGAGGTTGAACTGGCTGCCATTCTGTTTCTGGATGAAAAACAAAGTCCTGGTTGTTATTTGGGTTGCCCAGTCCTCCAGATTCAGTCTTTAAAAGGCCCCTCTGTGGACATGGGGGCACTCAGCAGGCTGTTAAAGCAGGTGTGTATTTTCCCACAATCATGCTGAATGTTAAGGTATTGTAGATAGGTATCATAGTCGCATTCCAATTACTGTACTGCATTACGTAATTGCTTGTCAGGGCCCAGGAACCAAGAAAGACAATAAAGTTATTTCCAAGCAGTTTTCTTTATTGTTCCTTACCTATGGACAGAAATCTTGCCTAACTAAAGCAACTATTCGCCTCATTAAAGAGATATTCTTAGAATTGCTAGGACGAGCCCTCTTAACTCTCTTTCTCCCAACCAAACTATCTTGATTTCTTTTGTAAAAAGGCATACAAACGTATGGTGTGAAACAAAGTTTTTGAAGATTTGAATGACTATTAGTTTTAGTTGCTCCCAGGTTTTAATTTTCTTTTCAGTTGTTCATTTTAAAACATTTTATTTGCAGAAAGGACTTGGCAATCAGTGGTGTAACATGTTAAATAAATAAATGGGTTTGCCAACGGAGATAATAAAGAGTCAAACTCCCATGCCATTGTGAAGGATGTGAGAATGTATGTGGGGTTATTCAACTGGATACGTTTGAAACAGAATACAGTTTTTTAAAAAAAGACCCACATATTATAGATCAGTGATGGCGAACCTTTTAGAGACCGAGTGCCCAAACTACAACCCAAAACCCACTTATTTATCACAAAGTGCCAGGGCCACATCAGCATTGTGATGCCCTGCGGGGGGAGCAAGGAGGCGCCTCTGAGTACCGCCTCTGGCACGCAAAAACCAGGGGCGCAAAAATGGCTGCCGCCGTGACGCACGTTGCAGATACAAGGCGCTGCACCACGCAAGAATGGGGCAGGGCTAGTGAGTATCACGCAGGCACTAGCCCCGCCCCATTTGCAGCGCGTGCGTGCTCACGGCCCCGTGTGCGCATGTGCGCATGTAAAATGCTTCCCCCTCCCTTTTCTTCCAGTCCACCAATCGACAATGGTTGGTGACCTCTGCTCTACCACCTCTACTCGAGCTTGCTAGTCAGCCGCTTCGCCTCCTTTGTGCTGGGTGGGGCTCCTGCTCCGGGCAGCAGTGGCGGCCCGATGGACCTGCTGCTGGTGGCGGTGGCACGCGTGCCGACAGAGAGGGCTCTGAGTGCCGCCTCTGGCACCCGTGCCATAGGTTCGCCACCACTGTTATAGATGATGTATGTCAAAAATGTAAGATTATTTTGATCCATAGCTCCCTCACCCCTTTCTTCTTTAGGTCTTGTGTTCAGGAGCAGATGATTTAATGTGGTATTCCCCACTTGTTTATAAGCTTTTATGAGTTTATAATTCATCAATTTCCAGCTCGGATTTCTTGGGATGCAAGGAGCTGGGTGTATCATTCCATGTGCCAGTCAGAGCATCTGCCTGACAGCTTTCCTTTGTTACATTTCTATGTCATTCCTCATTGAAAGATGACTGTGGAGCCAGCTTTTCAGGTTCCAACCATGTCGTGGTGGTTCTGCTAAAGACGTATAGAGAATGGCTGCTCATAATTTGCAATGAAAGATCTCTGGCAGACTTTATATGATCAACAACTGATCTCGTTTGTTTTTCTTTCTTTCAGCATTCCAGCATCTCAGATTATCCTCCATCTGAAGGGTATGCATTCAGTAACACAGCTTACAAAAGAGGGCCTCTGCCGGACCAGGGGGCAGCGGTGGCTGCTTTTAAGCAAAGTGTTAGCCGACATGTAGATAGGTAACTTTACGTGGATGTCATGTGTACAGTTATGGAGAACTGTCCCAGCTGGTGGCTTCTAGGATGGAGGTGGCATTCTCTTTATACATCTGTTACTCTTCACTGGCCATAGAAGTAGAGATTCTTCTCTGTGCTGAAACTAAAACTTCTTTTTCCCCCTTTTTTTACTCTGCTTTCTCTAAGTGCTGCTGACAAGTTCTGTTTAAACACGTTGTTATAAATAAAGAGAGATAACAGAAATGGATTGTAACTGGAGCTTGGAATCTTTTCCCACTTGCAAACAAGCAGTTCCCTTGTTCTTGGCCAAAGTCAACATGAAGTGGCCCTTTTCTCTGTGGGTTTACTGTTCACTTTTGCCAAAGGAGACACAGAAGAGAGATGCTCCCTGCAGCTCTCCATACAAAATCAGCTTCCATGCTGTGGAACCAAATGGAGACAGGATTAAGATCCATAGATTTTCCAGGTCCTTATAACCACCAACAGGAAGATTCTTCTCTGCCTTATTAAAATAGACAAGTACATTTCTAGGTCTAATAATAAGAATTTGAGAGTTGAATAATTGGGTTCCTTGCATTCAGTGTTGAATTATTGGGTTCCTTGCATTCTTGAGCTTGACTGTTTTCCTGTAGAGGTATAAAGCCATCAACATACCCATCTGCAAGATATTTGCAACAATAAATGGGAAGCAGCATCAGATAAACAACCAAAGAAGAAGCAGAAGCCTAATCAAGGAACCATCAAGATTGGTAGAATAAATTACTATATATAAGCAACCAGCAAACTCCATTCTCCCTCACTAATGGTGTCACCTAGTTTGATAATGATAAATGATAAACATCTTCAGGAAAACAACTGAGCTCAGATATCATCTAGAACCCAACAAATTTCTGAGTGCCTGATGGTGCAGGAATAGATTACATGTTTTTGTTGTATCGCATCTCCCATCTTCAGCTTCTGTGCCCCACTGCTTAAAAAGCTTAGAACCTCAGAGTCAGGACTGCATTTTCCTAATTCTGGACCAGTAAAGCAATTTGTTGGGGAATTGGAAGCAGGGAGAAATTACACTTTAAAAAAATGAAATGTTCCAATACCCAGTTAGGGAACTAAATCAAATGAACTGCAGGCAGCTGTCTTAGATTTAATTTTTCCATCTTAGATGGTTTTATAGTGATCTGGTTGGTTGGTTGATTGGTTGGTTGTTTAGAGGTTTGCTATGTAATGCAGTGCCTTAACAGTGCTGGGAAACTTAGAAAAATAAACAACATAATAAACACTGTTTTGATTATGCAATGCTGTCTATTGGGACCACAGAAGCTTGCCTTCTTTGTAGCATGTTCACTTTAAGTTCTAGATAGCTCCCATCCTGAAGGTATTCTAGAGGGTCTTAGACATCTGGCTTTTCCCTCAAAGGTTGGCCTAGGATGGTTGGACCTCCCTGTATGTGTGTGACATGTTTGAGTGGTTGACTGGTTCTACCATCTAGTTATTGCTATATGTCCTTTTTATTTTATATTTGTTGTTTATGCTGAGAGTCACCCAAAGTCAATTGGAGTTGGGCACTGCCCAAATCAAGTCAAAAGGCAAATTACAAAATTATTTTTCTCCAAATAAAAAACAGAATGCCTTACAAATGAAACAATAAACATTAACTTTAAAACACCTTTCCTAATAATTACAAGGGTAGCTTGTTTCATAATATCCACCGCACTCAAAAGAGAGCAAAGTGGACTGCTGATGTCAAATACTTCTAAGACAGGGCCAGTAAGAGGAGATATGTGAGTCTGGGACAGATTACATGAAAATAGAGATTCCTGTAACCAGGTGTTAGTGTGTAGTGGTTAAGGCATCAGGCTAGAAACCTGGAGGCTGTGAGTTCTAGTCTTGCCTCATGCACAAAGCCAGTTGGAGGATCTTCAGTCAGTCAGTCACTGTCACCCCTAGGAAGAAGACAATAGCAAGGCTTTGAAAACTTATCAAGAAAACTGCCCAGGCAGTTGCCAGAAGTTAAGACTGATTCAAAAGCACAGAAACAATTAGAATCCATTATTATCCATTGTCGTTCTTTGTAAGTGTTGTTTAATAAAGCAACTGCTTGGGTAAATTTTACCTTTTGAGTCATTGGGAGTTGTCAAACTAGAGCATAGGTTAAATTACATTCGGTGTTCTAATGCAAAGGTCTTCAAACTTGGCCCTTTTATGACTTGTGGACTTCAACTCCCAGAATTCCTCAGCCAGGCATGCTGGCTGAGGAATTCTGGGAGTTGAAGTCCACAAGTCATTAAAGGGCCAAGTTTGAAGACCCCCGTTCCAATGTAATGTTATACATGTATACATCACATCAACCATGTGAAAACTACATTGGGATTTTTTATTTTATGCAGCCATCTTTTTCCACTGAGTTCTATCCAGATAATCAAGTAACCTTCTGCAATTTTATACCCATCAAGTGTATTGAGATTACCCTACCACCTGGAAATTTTGGAAAATATGATATACTTTGGGTTTAGATGGCTTCTAAACTGGCATGGTCAGCTTCTCCTTTGGCAAATGAGTTGTGAGTAATGCAAAGTTATCCAGCAATCACATCACTTGAGTTCCAAGAGCAACATGTAAAATAATGATTTCTTTTTAAGAGCACAACAACGAACATGTAAAATGTTCCAGGATTTCCTTGGGTGCACAGTGCATGTCCTTCTTGTCTCATCAAAATGTGTTTTTTCCTTTCAACATTTGTGTATCCTCAGCTACATCTTTTTAAATCTCAGTGATTTCAACCTGATTTATTTAAATGGCTTGGTATCAAGAACGCAGAGTATGTAAATTGCCCCAAAGGTTGAAAAAACAATGATGCAGCTTCACAGGAGTATATGAGCCACTGTTTTGAAGCTGAATCATCATGCATTTTGGATAATCAAGGGTTGATCAGTGGTAATTCTGTGGTGTCCTTTTTCTCTTCTCTTTTAAGTTGTGACAGTTCTCCATAGCTAATACTAGATAGTTATTCAAGTACCTAAAATGGGAACATAATTGGTTTAAAATATTTAAATACAAAAAGAAAACAAGAGTCTACAAGTGTCTTTGTAAAGTGATTACTTATTTTGTTGTATTCTGTTTCTAGTCATGTAGCAGCTTTCCTTCATGGTAATTTTGCAATCTAGTTTCAAAGGCATAGCTTATCATTTTTCAACTTTTTAATATCCCCAGTCAATAAAACTTCAAATCTGAAGTCATTTATAGCTAAGACTATGAATCAAAATGGAGTGTGCTAAACTTGGAAAATAAAAATAGAATGCCTCCAATAGATAGATTAATATGATTTTTTTCCCCAAGCCAAGGTCCTAATAAAAGTGGAACTAATTGCAGCTAATGGATTGCTTCCCATGCATTTATCATCTTTTTCTCTTTATCATATTGCAAAATATAAATTGGCGACAACTCTTTAAGGGACCTTTCTTGGCCACATCTAAAGCTTTATGAGGCCATGTGTATCTAAGAAGCCCCAGGCTATTTTTTAATTTCTAACTAATCTCCTTCCCTGATGTCATAAATCCGTTATGGTAAAAGAATCCTCTGTGCATTGGCCTCAGCTTCTGTGATCTGGATCAAAGGATGTAACTCTCGGTAGAACATGTGCTTTGCACGCGGGAGATCTTTGGTCCAATCCTTGGCTGAGAAAAGCTTATCTCGGGCTGGAAAGAGATAGGA